AGACTGTTTTTCCAGATGGTCCCATGTGGGGGGCGGGGTTGGGGAGTGGGGCACCTGCAGTTTTGACCCTAAAAACCCTCCTTCCCCAGGGCCTTGCAGGGCTGACCACATAGGCTGACCTCCCCCTCCCTCTCTAACTGAACGTACACGGTTTTCCTACTCCCCGTGCCACGCTGGCCTTGATCATCCCTCCAGCTTTGCCAAGCTTGTTCGTGGCCTTAGGCCTTTGCACTGCGTGTTCTGCCTGGACAGCTCTTTGCTCAGAGCTGTGCTTGACTGGCCCTCGCTTGTCATTCAGGTCCGAGGGTAAATATCATTGCCCTGAGAGGCCTTTCCTGAACACCCCATCCCAGGCAGCCTGTCCCTAAGCCATAGTCACAGTCGGTTCTCACAGCATATGTTTCTGCATGTCTTTCCAGTCCCTGCACCTAAACAGTCCTTGGGATGTAGTACTTGCTCCCTGATGGGCAAGTGAGAGGGCAAGTGAATGGGCGGGTATGAGGTTTGGGGCACACCCATAGTGCCCCTTCACTGTCCAGTGGCTGAGCTGGGGGAAGCAGTGAGGAGGCCTCGGGCCCCACCGTCCCTCCTCCCCTGGGACCACCAGAGGATGGCGAGCATTTCCAGGATTGGTTGCTATTTCTGGAACACACCCTATGATTCCAGCCCCATACACCTTTACTCCTATGGTTGCCTTCACCCGGCCGGCCATCTATGGGTGCCTCTGACTGTTGGCATCTCACTCAGCCTTCAAAGCCCAACTCAAACAACACCTGCTTTGGGTTCACCCCTGAGTCAGTGGGAAGAATTTGCTCCCTTCTCTGAGCTCCTTTGCTATACCTCTGTGTAAACACATGTTCCTCTGACAGCAACCTGAGGACAGAACCCCGTACTCCTTTCCAGTAACCTCTAGCACAGAGCCCTAGGAGCTCAACAGACTTCCCCGACTGCAGCCCAGTGGGAGCACTGGCTGATGGTAGGGTGGATGGGAGGTAGATGGCTCAAGAGGTAACTCACAATGGGGCCACCAGCCTGTATCCCTGGACAGCCTCGGGCAGAGACCCTCAAAGCCACGTTCCAGTTTAGACTTTGCCTTTCTCTAGCTGGGACTTCAGACAAATTAGTACTCTGGGCCTCAGTTGATATGTCTGTAAAATGGGATAACAGTTCCCTCACAGTAACGCACAGGTTATTGTGAGAAGTAAATGGGTTAGTGCTTTGAAGTGCTTGGCATTATGACTAGCACAGAAATAATACTCAATAAATGTCAACTGTTATAATATGGACATCTGTCTGAGCCTTGTCTGGGACTCATCAAACTCTCCATCCTGACAACTCCCCAGTCTTCCCACTTCAGGGGCTCAGGGATATGGAGGTAAGCTTGGGAACTCACTCCAGACAGCAGGGGTTCAACACAGGATCCTCTTTGCCCACAATCATGCATTCATTCAACATGTGTTTTGTTGAGCACCTACTATGTGCCAGGTCCTGGAGATTCTGCATGGAAGAAGACAAAGGGCCTGCCCTCATGGAGCCTACCCTCTAGCACAGGGAGTCAGAGAATAAATAAAAAATAAACAAGTGCATCACTTCAGTTAGGGAAAGCCCTTTACTTAGAACAACAGGGCTTCCTAATAGTATGTGACCGGCAGCGGTCAGAGAAGGCTTTTTCTGAGCAGGTAGATTGAGGCTGAAACCTGAGTGAGAAGCAGTCATCTGGGAAAGAACATTCCAGGCAGGGAGACGAGTGACGTGAGGAGCACGGAGAAAGCTGGTGAGGCTGGATAAGAGTGAACGAGAGGGAAGGGAAGATACGAGGCACTGGGGACCACGGGGTCTCCAGGGGTGCAGCCCTAGGGACTCCTGGCTGCCCTAAGAGGTCTGGGTTTTATTTCGAGTTTGATGAGAAGCCTGTAGAAGGGCTTCCACAGGTAGTGGTTGAGTGAAGAATGGTCTGGGGAAGGTGAACCATGAGAGACTATAGACTCTGAAAAACGATCTGAGGGTTTTGAAGGGGCGGGGGGTGGGAGGTTGGGGGAACCAGGTGGTGGGTATTAGAGAGGGCACGATTGCATGGAGCACTGGGTGTGGTGCAAAAACAATGAATACTGTTATGCTGAAAAGAAATGAAATAAAAAAAAAAAAGAAAAAAAAGAATGGTCTGGGGAGGGAGAGGAGAGGAATGATGGCGGCCTGGACCCACTGGGGAGGCAGTGGCAAGCACTTCCACTCAGTATTTCGTAGGTCTCGAGTCAATAGGAACCTACTGACAGAACTGGAAATGAAGGGAAAAGAGGAATCAGGAAAGGCTCCAGGGGCCTGGCTGGCTCAGTGGGGAGAGCATGCGACTCTTGACCAAGTCGGGGCTGTGAGTTCGAGCCCCACGTTGGATATAGAGATTACTTAAAAATAAAATATTTAAAAAAAAAAAAAGGAAACGCTCTGAAGTAGAAACTTGAACCACATCTTGGTAAGACGGCAGAAAGAACCAGCTGGGAAAGATGGGCAAGCAGTGTTGTTTTGGATGTGTCCGTGTGGAAACATTAGCCGTTTGGAGAAGATTCGGGAGCAAGCGTCCAGTGTTGGCTAGGTAATACGGAGGTTAGGGCTGGGCTTAAGACTGGGGAGTTGTCAGCATGGAGATAGCCAAAGTCACCTGGGCGGGGGAGTGGGAATAAGGGGGGGCTTGGAAGGTAGCCTCTTGGAGACTGGAGGTGTCTTAAGGAAAGACACGTGCAGTGCAGACAGATTCCAAGACCTTCCGCAGGCTTCTGTGGAGGGAATGTGGGATTCAAGGAGGGTCTGTTTGTTTTTTCACGGTGAGAGAGATTACAGCACATTTGTATGCTGATGGCAGAGATTAGGCGAGAGGGAAAAATTGATGAGGCTGGGGAGGAGATAATGAGGGGAGCAAAGTCCTTGAGAGGAGCTGGTTTCCAGGGCCTCCGTGGAGGGCCTGGACTCCACAGGTAGGACTGGGAACAGTTCCTCCGAGTCAGGCCGGGGTCAGCACCATCTATGAGGCCAAAGCAAGCAGCAGGGCAGGGTGCGGCACAGGGCACACGGGTGGGGGGGTGGTGGTCCCAACCTCTAGCCCTCCTGCCAGGGGGCCTGGCTTCTCTTCTGACTTGGTCTTTCCTGTGTGACCTTAGGCAAGTTGCTGAATCTTTCTGGGCTGTACTTTCCTGAGGAGGGAAATGTGAATCAGGATCCCTGTCTGTCCTTCCTCCTGCAGTTTACACACAAAGCCCAACCTGTTTCAAAACCCATCGGACGGGTCCCCAGCACAGGGAGGTCACTGGCTTTGACCTGAGATGAGGATCTCCTCGAAGGTCAGACAGGGCTTTGTCACTTACCAAGTGTCAGAGGCTCAGGAGCTGTGCCCCGGCATCCCCATTCTCTCACCCCTTTGTGATACCATGAACAAAAAGCCTGCCTTGATTTCCCTTTTGGTGACAAAAGGATGCAAATCACTCAGTGGGCAGTCCTGGGGTTGTGAGGTGGGGACTGGACCAGGGGATCCTGTGTCAGCCTTCAGGAGGCAGCAGGGTAGGGAGAAGACAGCCTAGGCTTTGGTGCTCAACCACACCCCCAGCTCTGCCACTTTCTGTGACCTGCCCCACCTGCTGTTTGTATGGCAAACTTGAGCTTCAGGACCCTCCTCCTGAACTGAACCTCCCCTAAAGACCTATAATTTTAGATTCATCATTTTATCTTTTTTTACTTACAAGGGGGCCCCCAAAGTGTATTATAGCCAAGGTCTGTGAAACCAGGATCTGCCCTGGTTTCAGTGACTTAACCTCACTTTTCCCATCTGTAAAATGGGACAGTCAGGCTTGCCACTGAAGGTGAGAGGAAGGGTCTGTCAGGGGAGGGGTAAGAGGAGAGGAAGGGAGACTGGATGCATGGTTCAGAGCATGTGGTGAGGGCTCCAATAAATGGGAGCCAAAGTTATGGTTCCTGCTGCTTGGCCAAGGGAGGCAGGAAGCTGAGGCACCTGTCCCTCCATCCAGGGTATGCTGTCTATGGTGCCCACTGGCAGGGTCCCGTCCATTGTCCAATTCCTGCCCCTCTCCCTCAGCTGACTTAGCCCTTGGGATCAAGGGTGAGCTCTCTCTCTTTCAGCTTATACTCTCTCTCTCTCTCTCTTTTTTTTTTTTTTTAGATTTTATTTATTTGAGAGAGAGAGAGAGAGTGCATGCACACGCATGGCTGAGGGAGAGGGAGAAGCGGGCTCCCTGCTGAGCAGGGAGCCCCATGGGGCTTGATCCCTGTACCCTGGCATCATGACCAGAGCCGGAGGCAGAAGGCAGAGACTTAACCGGCTGAGCCACCCAGGCGCCCCTCTGTTTACACTCTTAAAGGCACAAACTGCCTGAAGCCAGCTTCCTCCTACACTCTTTCCACCCTTCTACAGCAGCCAGCCCCGCTCCCACCCCACTGAGCCCGGCAGGGCTGGGGGAGCCCACGGTAGCCAGATAACCCCAGCTGCCTCCACCTGCACCCACCTTTACGGAACTGGCTTCCCGTCTCCCCAGGCGTCAGATTTCAAGTGCACCTAAGCCATTCCCCTTGGGTGGCTACTCCTGGGTGCCAAGCAAAAGCCCCCTTTGGGGCGCCTGGGTGGCTCAGTGGGTTAAGCCTCTGCTTTCGGCTCAGGTCATGATCTGAGAGTCCTGGGATGGAGGCCCGCGTCGGGCTCTCTGCTTGGCAGGCAGGGAGACTGCTTCCCCTTCTCTCTCTCTGCCTGCTTCTCTGCCTAATTGTGATCTCTCTCTCTCTGTCAAATAAATAAATAAAATCTTAAAAAAAGTAAAAAAAAAAAAGCCCCCTTTGGCCTCTTAACCATCAGTCTCAGGAGGACCATGAGGTCAGAGCCTCACTTTCAGGACAGGGAGGGATGAGTAAACCACGCTGGTCCTAAGGACGCCCAGCGCTCACCTGGACTGCCCTCCCCCGTCCTTCCTTCACCCCTTTGGAGCCAAACCCCGAGTGCTTACCTTGGTGGGGATGAAGATGGGCAGGGGCAGAAGTAAAATAGGCAGGAAGAACACGAGCAGGTAGGAGCGATAGGCCCACAGGCCCTGCCAGCAGGTGGCCATGGTGTGACCCTCGAGGGTTTCTGGAGCCACGGCCTCCGGGATCCAGGGAGCCAAAGGAGCGATGCGGCAGGTAGGCGGCAGGCCAGGGCAAACTTATATAAAGCTGGTTGAGTGTTAACCATTGACCCACCCTGGCAATCAGACTGTTTTGGAGTCCAGGAGGTGAGAGTAAGGAGGAGGGACCTGCTGGAGGTGTAAAGATCAGGAAGACTTTGCAAAGAAAAGGAGCAGGCAAGATCAAGGAATAAAAGCTTCGGGTTCTTTCAAGAAGTTAAGCCCAAAGTTAACTCCTTCTGTGCGCACAGGCTGCTAAGGGCTGGAGGAGATGGAGAAGGAAGGGTGTCTGGGAAGCTCCAGAGCCAGCCTCTGGGGGGCAAGACCCAGGCCCTCTCCCCAGCTCAACCTCTCCTCTCTCCTTTGATTCCCCCAAAGCCAGGTTATCCGCAGAGTGGGTCCTACAGAGCCCCACGAGGCAGTCCGGCCTCCAGAGACGCCCTGCCCTCCAGGGGTTTCCAATCTAAGATCGAGCCCAGCCAATCTGAAGCAAACCCTCCTCCTCCTCCCTCCAGGTATCCAGGAAACTGTCAAAGGAAACTGTCAAAGTTACCCATCCTGACTGTCTCTTATTTGCTGTGTGACGTTGAGCCACTGACTTAACATCTCTGAATAACCACTTCCTTGTTCTGCCGTAACAACTTCCTATTATGAGGCATAAGTGAGACAACCTATGGTATGTTGATCAGAAAAGGTTAGGTTTTTTCTTTTTAAGTTCTTCCTGGTTCCCCCACCCCCAACCCCAAACTGCCACAGAAGACCAGAGAGATCTTGATCTCTCCATTTACCCACCATCCATCCATCCCTTCACCCATCCCATTCACCAAACAAGTATGTGGCACCAACTATAGACTCAGCCCTGTGTTCAGTGCCATGGTCGTAATAATTAAGATGGCGCTGGTAACAGTGAATGTTTGTTTAGCATTTAGTACGAGCTGGTTAGTGTACTGGTTCATTTACTCTGTACAAAACACACTATGAATTAGGTGTGACTACTCCATTTTACAGGTGGGACAACTGAGGCCCCGGGATACAGAGCCAGCCGGAATTCAAACATGCTTTCTGAGTGCCCTGAGTGCCCTGGGGAGGTCTAAACCCATCGGGGGCACCAGGTGAAAGGAGAGAACAAGGAGCGTGGGGCGTGTGAGCTAAACCTTTGAAGCTGAATCTAATTTGGTTGCCAGGTGTTGAAGGGAAGATCGCTGGCAGAGGGAAGAACCAACCAGCTAAGGCCCGGAGGGTGGAGTGTGCATAGAGGTGTTTGTGTTGGAGGGGGCCGGTTGAGGGTTGCAAGGAATGGCTGGAGTCTGTCCACCCAGAGCCTCTGTCTCCCGGTGCTGCCACCCTTCCCCCAGCCCATAACTGCACACAGGAGAAATTCGATCCATTTTTCCATATTTCCACGATTATGTTGAAGATCCGTGTGTGCCTGGGTGAGAAGGCAGGATGTCAGGGAGAATGTTTCAGGATGGAAACACAGCCTGGGCAAAGAGGCGGAACCGTGACGGAGTTCAGAGAACAGAAGGTTCTCTGTGGTTGGAGTATGGGTTTGCAGGGGGCAGGACTGAGAGCCGATCGCCACACTTCCAGGGTGTTCAGCGAACGGCCTGGCTTGGCTGGTTTGTCAGTGAGATCCTCCTGGAGCCAGTGAGGTCTGTTGGGGAGAGACCCCCGGTGCCCTCTGGGAGGAGAGCAGAGAGCTATGGAGGGAATCCAGTCACCCGACTGCTGAGGGCAGCCTGGTGGGAAGCTGCCATAAGACAGGACAGACCGGCCACCCTACACCCCTGTCTGGGGTTATGGCTTCTTCCCTCCCATTCAGCCAACCTGCCGCCTGCTTAGGGCTAGGCGAGGAGCAGTCAGGAGGCGCAGGACAAAGGGTTTCAGATACCCAAGACAATACCTGAATTCTGTCTCGGTGCAGAGATGGCCTCTTCTGTAGCCTGGGGCTTTAGAAGAGCCGCAAGAGGGGCTGGGCCTCCAGTATGTGTGTCCTCTGCAACCCAGTTTACCCAACCCCCAACCCACACTTCACACTTGCAACGCCCTTCAAAGTCATAGACCCTCAGGCCCCTCTCCGAGCGTCTTTTGAGGACCCACAGCAGCTTGTGGCTGGGGGGGGGGGGGGATCCGCAGGAGCCAGGGCCCATCAGTGATCAGGTCCTCTACAAAGCAATGTGCTGAGACCAGCCGGGAGTCTCCACTCAACACTTACATCAGGAGGACCTTCCCCCCACCTGGTGGTCGCAGCCACTGTCCCCGCCCCCAGGCTTTGCCCACTTTGCACCACCCTCCATTTCCTTCAATGATTGCAGCAAATAACTCTGTTTTGTTTTTGTCGTTGTTGTTGTTGTTGTTTTTCCGTGCCTCCTAGTGCATGTAAGCAATCCATGGCAGGATGCCATGACTGTCTTTCTTCAGTCTTTGTGGGGCTCTTCCCATGACAGGCCTCTGTATATCTCAGGGAGGATCCTTGACCTTGCACTTGGACCATTGACCCTCCTGGAGAGGGCCTCCTGAGAACTGCTGAGGAGGTCCTAGCCAGACAGGAGGTGGTCCCCGACTTACAAGAACCAGCCTATCCTCAGAATCAAGGGGCAGATACACTGGGGAGAGAGAGCCAAGGCTGGGGATGGGGTCCAAATGTGGCTTTTAGGAAGTTTGGACCAGGATACAGGGCCAGGCATTTAGACAAAGGCCCCTGAGACAACTGGGGGTTGAACTGAACAAGGGCACAATCCAAGTGGTCCCGGAAAGGTGGGAAAGGCTGGATGTGGTGGGAAGCCCCAGAAATGAGTTAAAAGAGCTGGAGCTGCCTGGCCTAAAGGGGAGAAGATAGCGTTGGGGGTGGCTGTCAGACCATCGGTGGAAGCATAGGGCATGAGCATTCTCCTGGGCAGAAATGACCACAGGGAGCAAGGTAGGAAAGCACACTGCGGCTTTTTTGAGGCCCCCTGGTGAAAGGTGATATGGGCCTCAGCCCTGGAAGGGCCCCTTCTGGGCGGCTAGCCTGCCCTGGGGCAAGAGGGAGAGATGGAGGGGATCCTACACTGTGTGGGGGGCAGGCAACTTGCTCAGAGCTCTGATAATCCCAGACCCAGAATCTGACTCCAAAGGCCCTTGTATTCCAGTGTCTTTCCAACGGGGCATGTTCATTTCATCTTTTACCTGTTCCCATCCCCCAACAGCACCTTGCGGACTGCTCAGAAGGCGCTTCCATGAATCTACAAGACCCCATCTTTGTGCTGCAGGCTGGCTGGGGCTGAGGATGCAGAGGGGTGTCCCGCGGAACCAGCCAAGAAGGTCCTTGGCTTCACGCAGGATAGAAATCAAATGTGAGCCAAGAGGAAGTGAGACTATTTATTAAAGATGTGGGGAAAGCGTAGATCAAACAGAGTGTCAGGGAGACCTGGAGAGGAAAGAGAGTGAGTCTTGTCTTTGTTTGGGGTCTGGGGTTTTTATTAAGGAAAGTGGTTCAGCACACGTGTCTTCTCAGTAATCCAGGAACAAAACGAGCCTTTAGGTGTCCTCCAGAAGTCGCTTAAGCCCGCAGCCAGGGGTCTTGATGAGTCAGTGGTCTTGGAAAACCTTCATGACCGACGACCCCGTCAAGTCATTCCTTAGATGTTACTCATTGCGCTGGAAGGCTCCAGAGAAATCGCTAATTCCTTGATATGCATTATCTGTGCTATAAGGCGTGCATAAGTTGGGGGTGTAGGTCCTGGGAGGACTCAGAGCAGAAAAAGGCATCCAAAAAGCAGGTCCTTTAGTGGCCGTTTCATTTGCTCCCATCTTTGCCTCAGCAATCACCATTCCTGCCATGACTCCACTCTTTGCAGAGTCTCACCGGACCCTGCCTTTACTAAGATCTCCGACAGGTGCCTATGTTCTTGCTTCTCTCAGGCATACTCTCCCAGGCTCCCTCTCCCTGCGTGGCTGGTTGAATCTTGTTTACCCTTCAAGTCTCAGCCTGAGACTGAACTTCCTTTGCGAACCTTCATTACCAACTGGAACAGGTCCCTGCTGAGTGCTCTTGAAGACACTATCACCGCAAAAGCACATAGGACACTGCATTTTGTTCTCCTCCACCATGCTCTGAGTTTGGGGACGGTAGGGTCTGTCTTGTATGACTGTCCCTATAGACCTCTTCAGCCTCTTGAACGAATATCCAACTATACGTTGAAAGGATGAATGGGTGGATGGATGGATGGATGGATGGTTGGGTGTGTGGGTGGATAGGGTGCCCACGTGATAATTTATAAGGTTCGTGCCAGAGAGTCAAGCCCTCTTACCATCATGTCATGGAGTTGCTCTCTGGATCTTTCAATAGGATGATGGGGGCCGTTGGTCAGGTGAGAAGGCAAAGAAGTCAATGGGTTTTTACCACCATCAAGAGTGTGAAGAGGCAATAGGGAATCCCCCTTCTAGGGCTGGCCCAGCCCACCTCCTCTGGAAGCTGAGCCTAGGCAAGAATCTACAGAATGTTCTTTTTTTTTTTTTTTAAGACTTTATTTATTTATTTGACAGAGAGATATCACAGGTAGACAAAGAGGCAGGCAGAGAGAGAGAGAGAGGAGGAAGCAGGCTCCCCGCTGAGCAGAGAGCCCAATGCGGGGCTCGATCCCAGGACCCTATGATCATGACCTGAGCCGAAGGCAGAGACTTAACCCACTGAGCCACCCAGGCGCCCCATCTACAGAATGTTCTGATGCTAACCTGAGACTCATTTGGATACAGTCAGCCCAAGAACCTACCCCCTGCATTACTGAGCAGCAAGCCTGTCCCCTTGTCTTCTGAGTTTCCATGTCATGCTCTTTTAAAAAATTGTAATGTAATATACATAAGGTAAAATTTACCATCTTAATCAGTTTTATACATACAGATCTGTCCTGTCAAGTATAATCCCATTGTTTTGCAACCAGTCTCTAGAACTTTTTCATCTTGCAAAACTGAAACTCTATACCCATTAAGCAAGAACTCCCACCTCCTTCTCCCCAAGCCCTGGCAACCACCATTCCACTTTCTGGTTCTAAAGGTGCTACTTTTTTTTTTCTTTTTTAAAGGTTTTATTTATTTATTTATTTGACAGGGAGAGAGAGAGGTCACGAGTAGGCAGAGAGGCAGGCAGAGAGAGAGGAAGGGAAGCAGGCTCCTTGCTGAGC